TTTTTTTTAGAAATTTTGTTAAATAAATTTCCTAAAAGTGTTGACAAATTGTGTTAAATTGAAATAAAAGATTGAAAATCGTCATTGATTACTTGATTAGGAAATACAAACTCTAAAAACAGAAAGCTTTTTCACGAGGCCAGTTTATGGATTTCATAACGTTTCACGGGGAATTAAAGCTTTTCTTCTTCAGATGAAAGTATTGTTGCTATCACTCTTTCAGTTTACAATAATCGTCCATATCCGGGATCGGCTTGAAAATTCAAAACTACCTTGCCGTTAGAAATTCTACTTACGTAACAAAACGTCTAGATTAATGTTTCCCAAATACAAATATAATACATAAATAAAACATTATTGACAGAACGTCTACTTAGAAAGTTCTTATATTAAAATAATTCCCTACATTTTGAAATTATCTGACACAAAAAATAGCATTGCAATCATTCTGTCGATAATTGCTGTAATTTTCTATTCTGAATAACAATAACTAACGACTTTCGTCATCACATTTAATTTTACATCCATAAAGCTTCGCTTTATAGTAATTACCGAGCATAGGCAATGATTGTGAAGGTATAAAAATTGTTATTAGTTATGGGTGCCAAATATTTTTTGTTGTTACTAATCTCAACATTATTAACTTTCTACATAACTGGACAGAATAGCTCGTGTAACAAAATTGAAAAAAATGTTTGAACAAGTCATGTCAACAGACATCATTTCAAAATCTATAATAATAATAATTAATTCAGTTTAATCTAATTATGTAATTTGCCTAAAGTACTAACCGTAAAAGTAATTTAAAGTAAAAACTGAGATAAGTTAATCTAAATGAGTTAATAAAGTTATTAAAAATTCCGGATCAAAAATTATGTAAGTAATACTAAAAAACTAAAATATGTTAAAATTAAGGTTATCTTGAATTTAAAGTTATACCTACATATTTCTGAGGCTCGCATGCAGGAAAACACCCAGTTGTTAGTAATTTGTATGTATGCCTAAATAATCTTTAAAATCAGTATTAAGCTTAATGAACGTAATTTAAAAATTGCTCATTAATTTTTTTAAGTTTTGAATACCTATTACACGAACGAATTCGTTACGACGCGTAGGACCAAATCTCGTATCACATTATTAATTTAATATTAATTCAACTCGTCTGACAATTTTATTGCTTCAAACGTTCTGCTATTTTTATCAGCAGCGTCATATTCATATTTATGGAAAGAAAAACTGTTCTAACTAATTATTGTGGTTAAAATTTATAGCATGCCATAAACTACAACATATACTTTTTTCTACTGCTACCCCATTATAAACAGACAAGTATATCTATTTCAGCAACTCGAATTTATAAAACGTTCATTCTGATAGCTGGAAATGTAATTTTAATAACTGAACGTGTATATAAAAAGGTGTGAATAACACGCTCAAAGTGTAAAACAGACTAGTCATATTTAAATAAAAATGAGCAAATAATTTACCTACGAAAATATGAGTGTATGTTTACAGTAATTTCAAGAAAACTTTTCCAGACGATAAAAATATGAAGTGTTTAATTCGGGCCAAATAACATAAACGTATCCCAAGAAAAAACAAAAATCTGCTAAATAGCAAACACATCAGCAACTCCCGGTCAAAACACGCCACAAAACCAATTAGAATAGCCACCACAACAATGTAAAGGCAATAATCTACAATCGTTACGACTAACCATATTCGCCATGTATATGAATGCGCAAACATAAAAATTTAAGTCCGCTGTCAATTTTGACCTTTGCGTAGCCCCATAATAAATAACAATGTGATTTTCTCGAACAAGTTGTAGGTCTACCCGCTTGGGATGTTTTAATGGCAAGGCGTAACTGTCAACAATATTTATTTAAAGATGATTTAAATCACCACAAGAGCACCATGCTCCTGTCCGCTCATTGTTACACGCACCATTGTTTGGTCTATACTTTGTATGGCGTTCTAAACGCCCCTGCAAACCGCTTAATTACTGAAAGGACGCTGTGAGAACATTTTTGGAATTGCACACATTACACCTAAGAGTTTAAAAGATCGTAAACTGCACATGTCGATATATCTGGCTTGAGTCAGAGAGAAACATAGGCCCTAAAAACTAACTCTGCAGTACGCCACTAGAACCAGAAACACAGGAAACTTAGTCATCTTGTTCACGACGACAGCACTTTTGATTATTTTTTTTAGTTTTTAGTTGAAGTTCATCGGTCGCATCTGTCTGTTCACTGCTATGAACGTCGTTGTTGTTCTATACTTAGTACGGCGCTCTATTTTTGCAAATCTCAAAGGGTAAAAGTATTTACAAATACGACCTAGCATATCTGTGTTTATTATTTATGTTCATAGCTGTCTCCATTCCATCAGTGAGGAAGGAGCATCGGACCGAAAGGTGACCTCTGTGGGGCGCCAAAACTAGCAACAGAACAGCCTTGATATTTTTAGTGCTAATCATGGTGGCGATTGTTTTTGTCAGTTTCTTCATCTGGTGTCGATCGATCGCATGGTGGCGCTAACAAATTCCATTATATCAATACAATGCAAACAATGGTGTGAATATTTGTATTATAAATGGTCAGTAGCCGAGGCCGCTCGGGCGAGGATGAGCTCACCGGGAAGCCTCAAAGATTTTCCGATAGCCTACGCCTTTGTAATAGCCGTAGTGCTAATAGGTTCTGTCAGATGACCGTTCAACTTATCATCCCTTTATAACATTCGGCATAATATATCGATATAGAGGCGCCACTCGGCCCATCTCCGCATAAAAAGCTGCGCCGCTCCGAACATTAATAAAACACGTGTGTTATCTGTACTTTTGTATGATTGGAATCCAGACGAGCTTCATGTTATTGAATCAACAATCGTCGAGTATGCAGAAATATAAAGGGGACGGCATTCTGTACTCGATTCCCCCTTGTTTCATTGCGTTTATAATTATTTCAGTCTAAACGCGGGGGTTTGTTGGCCCAGTTAGTATTTATAGACTGCATCTATCATAAATGCAATTGTCTCTGCACTCTTGCAGACGGGGTCGCAATTGCACGGGGAATTGGAGAAATGGAAAGGGGTAGAAGGAATGGATTCGAGGACCAACAAGTAGCGAAAGCCGTAAATTAGGGGAGAACGAGGACGATTTAGGAAAGGTCCTTTTTCCGGTCAGTGGAAAATTGTGAGTGATTCTGTTCCGAGAATATACGAAGACAGTAGAATTAGGAGAAAATTTCCAAACTTCTAAAAGAAACGTCTTATTAAGACCGACGAAAAATATATTGCTTTTTTCTACACATTTGGATGAAGGCAAATCTTTACATAAATTTAATCGAATCGAAAACATCTAAAGTTCTAAGAACCTCTTTAGAATGTTAAAAAATATACAAAAGTATAAAGAGTAAATGTTAGTATACAATAGTTCCTGTCATAAACTGTGGCCTTATAATCAAGTATAAAAGTAATCTAAACGGACTTTGCCTGACATACAAAGTAAATTACATTTCAAGTTTTAGTAACTCAAGCCTTGCGTCAAGAATCAGTATTTATCTTAAATGTTTCTATTTAAAGTTACGAGCTTTGTTGTTAATTTTCAGCTTTCACTGAACTTTTGATGATCACGTGTTAAAGTGTTACATCAACAAATGTTTCGTATTCATTGTTTCACTTATACTTAGCATAGCTATAAGTGAATTTTTAAATAAAAGTTTTTCAGATTGTACGTTTGTTTAGTGCATGATATAGCACTAATATGTTTATAGAAATGTAGGTATAAAGATTACTGACAAATTTGAATTGAATCAAATAACAAGAAAGCGAAAATGTCCCCAACCCCCAACATATGCCACCTTTTTACGTTATTTCAAGATGTGACAGTTAAAAGTTAACAATTAGGTATAAGGATGTCAGTTGTCAATAATTAAACATATGATAAGGGCAACATACTTCAAATGTCAAGCATCACCCACACCTAAAATGAAAGAATTCGATCAACAGTTACACAAATATTTCTATTGAAAAATTAGGTAAATACATTTGCCAAAAAAGTTTAAAAAGCTGTTTTTTAGGAGACTACAAATATGACACATATGTCCAGTGTATTATATAACAAGTAGCAACATACAAAGGTGGGCGCCAAAATGTTGTAATTTCCTTTTTCTGTTTTAAGTAGGGTATTCATAAAAGAGAACATTGTACCGACGAATTGGACACTTCAGTTGTAGGTTTCCTCTATTTTTACGAAATATAAAAAATAATGTCAACAATAAGAAAATAAAATTTATCTGAAATATTTTCGATCTTTTGTCTATAGTAAGTTTACAAGAAGCGTATATTTTTATTTGGTAGTTCCAAAACTATAACATGAATTTAAAGTTGTACCCGCTATTTGGTTGAACCCTTGTTTTGAATTAGAACCAAAAGATAGTATCGGACTTACAAATAAAGCATATGGCATGTGAAATATTCTCTGGATTATGTTAACTCTCATCACTACTCACGTTCTAATAAAAATCCAATTATAGTTAACCGACAACTAATATCTACACCCGCATCCAAAAACATTCTGTAAATTGTTACGAATTTAGTGCAAAACGTATGAAACACCCTGGAAACCACTGTTATGATCATACGGTGTATTAAGAATGTAGAGGAAATTTCCCAGTTATCATAACATAAAAATTATCCACCAAAGTTGTAGACTATAATTTGTGGGGTATCTATTTTTTTTCCTAGAATTTTATCATGTCGCCAAAAAATATTCTTTTACTCATTCACTTATACTAGTGGGTGCTACTGGTATACCATGGGTGTTGACGGCAACTTCAGAGAAAACAGAAAAAGTGTTATCATTTTAGAGATTGTTGACGGCACAAATCCGCGTGATGTCAGTACTCCATACATAGTACTAAAGATTCTCGTCACTCTCAACAAAGCATCCCACCTTTTCCACCCCATCTAAAAAGCCAACACCCGCTAACACGTACCTGGCCGTAGTGCAGTCCCTGTAGAGGGTGTCGAAGTCTTTGCACGACAGCAGCTTGCATCTGTTGACTCCCGGCTGTATGGCCCCCAGCCCCCTCAAGATCCTGACCTGCTCCACGTTGCAGACTAGCGGCACGATGTCCAGCCGCTTCAGCTTAGTGTAGACCGTGTGCAGTCCGCCCACCAAGTGCTTGAGAAAGAGCTCGAAGGCCTGCGGCAGACACAGCATCGTGTCGCCGGCGATGATGAACGCCGCCACCTTCTGGCCGCGGTAATCCACCAGCTTGCACTCGTTGGCGGTGGGGTCGGACGTGGAGATCGGCGGCGGGCTGTTGTAGGAGCGCGGCGGCGCGTGGTGCGCCATCAGGTCCAGGGGGCCGTGCAGCACCCCCAGCGAGTTGAGCAGGCCGAGGCCCGGCGGCGGCAGGTGGCCCAGGGCCATGCCGCGCAGGCTGGCGGAGCTCACCGGCGGCGGGCTCAGCGGGTGCGCCATGGACAGCGGCGGCCCCAGAGGGCTGGCCTGGCGCGGGCTGCTGTGGGTGTTGGCGTTGACGGGCGGCGACGGCGGCTTGGCGGCAACGGCGGGTGAACCCGAGGACGCGTGGCTGCTGTGCTCGCTGGCGGAGTCCATGGTGTCCATCGCGATCGCGCACTTCACCAGAGCATCACCGGCCTTCTCTTCGGAAGAATGCCGAACCTTCGCTCTTCCAACAGTCAGGGCTGTGCGGCGGTCGTCGGGCGGGGCGAGTGCGCGCGGTACACTCGAGGCAAACTCTGTACACTCTGTACGCTGGAGCGCGAGCTGAGGGAGTGCGGACGCGACCGGTACACTCGGCGGGTACGAATGTAATAAATAAAAACATTCGGAAAAAGTGCTGCAAGTGCCGGGGGGCGGGGCCTGCTTCGGCACGCACTCGCCACAGCCTATGGCGGACGGCGGCTGCGCGGAGGCACGCGATTGGCCACCAACTCGACGACGGACGCTTGCGACCACCCTCCGCCACTGAAAGAACTTAGTTTCTTTGTAGCTTTGAGGGCGGATGCAAGGGAACTTGAAATATGAGCTGTGACGTATTGATAAAGAATGTCACCGGGCTGTCGCTGCGGAATCAATACGAGGTGTGCGGGCCGCTTTTTATTCCATACCAATGCACTTCTTTGTTTTAAAACAGACCAACGGGAAATTCTGACGGAGCTTTTTGTTGGCGACGAATAAAAAGCGAACAGATAATATAAAGGACGCTAACTTGTCTGTACTGGGTGGCCAAAACACTTGTCGACCCAAAAAAATTCTCGCAGGGACATCGGGACTAATTTTATTGATCACGTTTTTCACTAACAGCTCATCAACTATCTGTATTGATTCACTCTAACAAAGGTAGATAGGTCATTAAGTTATTTTTAAAAATCGGAGCGTAGGAGGATTCCATTCCGCGTACTTGACGGGTCTCTCTCGTGTGAACACAATTTCCACATTTTTTGTTAAAAAAAAAATAAAGCAAGGTATCTACATTTTAATAACATTTCATCGTAACGCATTTCTTAGAGACGTTTATTGGATACGTTAGATATGACGAGCCCATATTGTTTGAACTTTTCCTACACTTTCTTTCCAATGCGTCAATTCTGTCTAACCTTTGCCATAATCAAAACAAAATTTGATGATGTACTAGATATATCTACGAACATAAGTGTATTAAACAACAAAATTTATGGAAATCGTTCACACATAAAATTAATGAGAAAGATTTGTCTATTCTGTAAGATACGAAACATATTTTTTGCACTCATGATCTTTTTTGATGGCTTTCGTGCATTCACCAGGGTGCGGGAGTTCGAACTTCCCGCACACGTGCATTTTAACTTCCCGTTGCCATGGTAACCTTAAAATACTCGCGTAGTGTCAACATTGTGATGTGTTGGCGGCGCCATTGTTTATAAATAACTCACAGTTAATTTCTTCAGTTTAAAGGTTTATTCGTTGCAAAAAATATTGTACACAACACGTTCGTGAGCCTGCTTCCCGCATTCACGCAAATGCGGCACTCCCTTCGGTCGTGCCGCAAACAAGCGTTCATGCGGGAAGCAGGCTATCCCGAACTAGTTGTGTAAATTACTATTGTTTTCGCTTATTTAAGAATAAAGTGTAGTGGAACATTTTTTTGTCATTATACATAGACACCTGATGTATGATTGTATAAACGAAAACTTTTTCAAATCTGCATCCTTGAAAATTAAGTTATACTTTTATAAACTATCCAAAACAACTAGAAAAGATATTATTATTCAAAAAATAACACACAGATAATAATTATTTTACTGGTAGGTATCTAAAGTATTTACCTACTTATTTAATACTAAAATAAACTGAATATATTTTTTCTCGGTTTCAAACTATTATTGAAAAAAAAAATCAAAAACAAAATCTGCAAGAGAAATTTGGCAATACCCAATGTCAAAACACATTCAGAGACTCCACTTTTTTTGCTGAAAATTTTACTTTATTCTTTATACATACAACTGCGTGATTTATAAATGAATCAGTTGGTTGTTTTAATTACAACCTTTAAAAATTTTTTGACGCAACATAAAAGTGAGGTTGTACGGGATTTATATAAGCATGACTGATATATATTTACATGTCATAGCGACAATTAATGTGGACTGCTCTTCTTTCCCCCAATACTCCTACCATGGAATACTCATTCCGAAACAGTTGGAGTTTCCATAAACAAGTGCATTTACAATAACCACAATTTATAGTTATTATAACTACAATAAATAAATATTTATAACAAATTTAATACAGGTGAACATGTTCATGTAGACAGCTACATCAGTATATAGATAATATCAGTTTTACAGTAACGTGAGCATCTGACGGTTGGTTATGTTTAATTTCTACACTGGTATTAAATATTCTCGACAGTTTTGCTTTTACAATCTCTCAATCGCTCCAATTTTATAAAACGTTCTTTAAAACAACATTTTTATATATTTTTTTATACATTCTTTCGAGTAAAGTATTACAAACACACAATTAAAAAGCAATGCTTTAAATCATAACCGCTTACATCAGCCTTAAATTCCAATTTTTAATCTTACCTCGTCTGCCCACACTCGATTCTCAAATCAGTGCGCATCACTTTTTTTTTTCACAAATTATAGCTTATCCATGTTATGTCAATATTATCTATAAATCAATTGGGTTGGTGTCGAAATAGGCTCCATCAAAATTAAGAACAACTTTTCTTCGCCCACACGGACGACATCTTAATTGGTAAAGGTAAGTGAGATTTTCGTCGTCGCACGAAAGTGTTTCCGGTTTCTGCTCCGTCAAAATTAAACTTCGATCTAGTGGTCAGTGGGTTAGTGATGCGACACAACGGTCCAGAGCAACCCTGTACAACCTATAGCTCTCTGCATGTATCCAAGATACGGACGATCCACTGAAACGGGGTGCTTTTCACCCCTCATAACTCCCGTTATTATTTTCACGATACTCTCTTCTTCCCTCGTGGCTTGTTCCAGAGTGTATAGCGTTCGCCGCACTGATTTTTTATTCCCACTCGGAAATGTTCTATAGAGAATACAAAAACCGAACCAATGTTGATATATATGTATGTACAGATTTTTATTTTAATAAAATTATGTTTTTCTGACTAAATTGTCTTTTCAAAAAAAAGTTAACAGTTTCACAAATTTAATATTTTTGACAACGAAATCTCAATTTAGTTTCATATAATTTTACGATTTATGCACCTATTGTTGTAATTTGATAAAATTTACGGATAGATCCATTTTGTTGCAGAACAAAGGTATATACGTACCTATTTATTTTCTATTTTTATAAATATGACGGCTAGTAAAAAGAAGTATGTATAGTGTATAGTTTAGTTGTACCTATTTACTCCTTCGTGAAACATAAAACACAGAATTTAAATATCCAGGAAATAAAGTAACATATCAATAACACTAATACTAAATAGATAGGTAGGTATGTGATATCTAATGTTTATTATGTTTAAAAAGATTACAATATGATACGTAAGTTTAAATTAGGAAAGAAAAATATAAGCTTTTAACTAATATTTTTCTTATTATTATTTTCGGTGAATGAAATTAAAATGACAATAGATAAAATATCCCAGATTTAACATCGCTGATTTTGGGGTTAACCTGATCTAACATTCTCAAACGGCTGAGTAATAAATTTTAATTAATTTTTAGTATCGTTCCAAAGTTGTAAAAAATGGATTATTTAACAAAATGGGTCAGTTAATGATTATTAAAACAGAGGCAAAAGGAATGTTACCCTATACATCATACTTAGTAATTAAGACTTAAATACAGTTTTAGATTGTCGTAATTAATTTTTCAATAGTTATAGCCATTGTATAGGATTTTTTCTAAAAAAAAAAAAAAATAAATAAATAAAAATCGAATTATCTTAGTTGCCAAAAATATACACAAATACAGTTCGTCCGTATCTTCTCACATATCCACCCTTTGCTCAATATTCGTTTGCTTCAAAATGAAAACATTTTTGACTCCATAACATTCACGACTTGCACTGATACTAACACAAACAGGTTATTATCCCCGCAGTAATGAAAATTTTAACAAATTCTCTACGTGTTTGAATAGTTATTGTATCATCTACACAGTACAATAGGTAGAATTTGGAAGGAGAAAATGACAGCCTAGTTCTCAACAACTCGACAGTTCTAGAAATTTTTAGTTTTCAGCAATAATTTAACACTTATAATTAATAATGTAATTGGTATTATTATTTCACTTCATTCGGATTGGAAGTCTCTTTTTACCCACCTGTACAATATTTTGGAATATTCACCAGGGAATATATTTTTTTAATCCTACTCAAAATTCTCAAATCTTTGCCAGAGTTAACATCCTGAAATTATAAAAAAAAAATGGAGATAGAGAGGCCGTCAGTAGAATTTTTCCTAAATTAAGAATTTTTAAAGTCGAGCTGTATTTCAAATAAAGTAGGTATACTTACACAATATATCTCATTACATTATTTTATATTGTACCTACTGCTTTTTGTCTAAGGTATCGATTAAGTTTAAAAAAGCTTCAATTAAAGGCCCGAACTTGCTAAATACAGGCAGAGGTGCCGATTCAGCTATTCACGTGCCGTTTACCTATCTGGTATAAAAGGCTATTATACAATTTGGATTTTTTTTACGAAAATCTACCTAGGGTAAAAAATCAATTCGGATTCATAAACCACAAGTATAGGAATGTGTTGCTATATAAAATTTGAATGACGTTTACTAGAAAAAAGTGGGGAAACATTAACTAATTGTTGGTGAGGATGAATAATTAGCCAAATTTTGGTTAGCGTTTTATAATATGTATACAAAATAAAGGCTCCAGTAGCTTCAGAGATTCTGAAGACAGTCAACTGGACGAAAACGGGAGACCACTTTTTTCGTACTCTAGGGGCATGAAACGTCGAGAGAACATGAAAGTAAGATGGACTTCAAAGGTTTGGGAAGTATATATACCTAAATAAGAAAAAACTTCTAATATTGGCAAGAAAAAACAGAAAGCTGTCATTTTAAGAAATATGAAATTTCATAAAAAAACTTAAGCGCAAAAATAGAAATCGAATTTTAACCGCAATAGTTGAACAAAGACAGAAACTTTATGATTAATTATGCACAGATAATGTGTTTTACACTTCTTCAGAAAATCGATCCGTTTTTAACAATATGACAACACTGCCGTGATATCTTTCCTATAAAATATGTTGATTATGGATTTTAGACGTTGCCAACTTAACTTAAAATGGAATACATTTT